AAGGAGCAGACGAACAGAACGCCGCGCCGCCACGTGGTCCCCCCAACTAAGTTAGCACCGAGGAGAGATTGCTCCATTCATATGAGGAGGATTGCCTCTGAGATATAGTACTTATATAATCCCAAGGGAATGGCACTGAGTCAGCATTTTGTGGAGAGTTCAAGCAGAAAACATCTCTATAAACAGTCCAAGATAACATCAAGAACCGTTCAAGATTCTCCCGAGGACTCGAGTAAATAAGATTTGCAAGCGGAAAAGGAATTGGAAAAAGCCGGAACTACTTCCATGTCTGGATGGAAGCGATTAGTGCTGGGATTTCCTTCGTGCACGTAATCGACTCCGTATATTCAGTTATATCAGGACTCTCGGGGGTGCATTCCTACCTATTCTCCATGAATATAGAAAGAAGATAGAGAAGAGATAGAAGAGGTAGATGATAGAGAAAGACTATATATAAACTCGCCCCATTGATATTTTAATTCACCTGCACCCGCGAAAGATCAGCGAAGGGAGAAGTCTTAATCTTGGCATGAATTCCAATGTCTCTGGGGTTCCTGTATACAGAAATTTGCAGAGCTCACAATAGATCAAATTTTGTCGAAGGTCCTTCAGCAGCGCTTCAGAAAATTTCACACGTGCATAGTTTCCTTATCCGGAGCCGTCCTGCGCCAGCGGCTTGCAATGTTGGCCGGCCATTGCCCTTCGCTTGTTGCCCCCCCCCCTCGCATACTTCACGATTTGTAGCTGGCATACCATTTTGATTCCTTGTGATTTCTGTCCTAGTGATTTGCCTCTATTATTTCTCCCTGTCACATACCTATTGTGAAGTCGTTTTTATTCATATATTAATTTGACAACCTAACCTTATGCAAAAGCTATAAATAAATAAATAGAACTATTCCATATCGTAAGTAGGTGTTAGCTGACCAGAGCTCACCATCAGAAACGTGGATTAGCGAGGATTTCCAAGTATGGATTAAGCTGTTTACCACATTTTCGCCTTCATTACTATCACAAATTTGAAAGCTATTGCTTATATTAGGCGGTGACGCCACTTATCAATATTGATAGCCGAAAGCGGAGAAAACATCGCCTACTCATGTGTAAAGTTCTATTGTCTTTCATGAATAATCTAGCATTTGCGAAGGGATGAAAAAGTGAAGAACCGACCGTCGTGATTCAATTCAACAGACGAGAAAACGGATGAGACGAATGCGATACGATGGCGGGGAATGTTGTCGATGAGAACCACCGACGGCTCCGTCGATCTCAGAAGACTTTCCAACTGTTTCTCAACCTAAACTGATTATGTAAGTGTACTCAAAAAACACCTGTGTAGTTGAGTGCGATAAGAAATGTGAATGTAACGTGGTTTTCAAACTTAAACTCAAAGATGGGCGCACTCAAAATCCTGTCTACAGGATTGGGTGTAAGGGACTGAGGACGAAGCCATTGAAGGTCGTACTCTTCACAAAAAGGAGAATACATCTCTTGACGATATGGACAAACGAATGCAAGAACGTGTTTCCTATCCCATCAGCCTGAACCTGTTGTATTTTGAAAAGCGAAAGAGAATTTACTCAAAGGTACACCTCACGATTAAAGGACGAATTCACGATGAAAAAGCAACCCATTTCAAATTAACCTAGGGATGGTGAGTGGTACACGAAAGAAGGAAGAACCATGAGAAACGGCCCAGAACCCGAGAAATGGGACCCCTTCCTTGCCCGTTGATTTGAGCATTGATGCGACTCTCATCGCTGTGCCCTCTTCAACACTACGCTCTCTCAGCTATCTAATCACTCGCCACGTATTGAACTACGGCGAGTGATCAGATGATCGGTGGGCGGAGATCGCCGGACCCGCCAGCTTTGAGGCATGATAGGTCGCCGAGGTCAAATTTTTCCATGCGAATTGCGCGTCAGTTCGCACCCTCAGGAGGTCCGTGGGTCCCTCAACTAGGTCAGTTTCCCTTTCTTCGACCTTCATTCTAATCGTGAATTCCTCCTTTAAACTCGTGTGATTATTGCAAATCATAATGGGAGTGCGAGGTGGGCAGGCAGTGAAGAGAAAAAGAAAATTTGTCGATAACTCTGAATTAAAGGCTTTACTTTCTCGTTTTTGAGCTGTACTAAGGGGATGAGACAACGAAGATGGGAGGGGATAGGCGATGGACAGATACAGGATGAGGGAGGCAGACACTCGCATATTGCGAAACGGAAAAAGTAGAAGTGGTCGAAACGGTCTCGGAAAGGCGATAGCGCTCTCTTGCTTTCGAGCCAGAAGAACGTGAACTATGTACCTTTAGAGGAACAGCCCCATCCTATCCAACAAAGAGATTGATCCTTTTGAACTCATCTTAGGCTATGCCTTCAGCTGAGCTCGCTAATCATGAGCCACATCCGTGAGCGATAATGAGGGTAGCTTTTAGTTAGCCTAACCCTTTTTCACAGCGGATTCACAAGGGCGGGCGCAAATTGTGTGAAAGAATAAAGGGTGTATCCAGCGACCGTACGAGATGTGAGCACATTAGAGGAATCATTTATGACAGTAAGCAGAATAAAGCCTAGTTATATTCCACAAATCGACAGGAACGTGTGAGAAGTGCTTACCTTAACAATTTCCTTGTCACTTGTGTCCTCGGGTATTCGCACGTCGACAACTCCGTTGCGGTCAAGACCAATTCTGACGGAGAGGTAAGTTGCGAGTTGACGAGCGAGATTACTCTGAACAATGAACTCTATGTACTTCTTGTTTTTGTAGCTGCTGCTTTTGGCCTCAGTTCGCAGTACTTACAAGAGGGCCGAGTTATGGGCAAAACTCTTCGCTCCACGCGCACCTGTCCAGAGGAGTCCCGCCTGAGGCGAAGAGTTTCGCTCGGAAGTCAGCATCCTTGTGAAAATCTTTAGTCCGTTTTCCACTACGCAATATAAGCTTGTCAAAAAATATTTTTTGCAGGTGCATGACGAAAAAATGCTCCACATATTACTTTAAGTTCAATAGGCAGCCATAACTGAAGCCATGGAGAGAGGTCATTCAAAACTATGGAATAGCTTCGGAAAGCAATAGTGATTAGGTAATTCTCCAGAGAAATGTTTCCTTGACGACCGCACTCAAAGTGTAGTGCAGCACTGCATACCCAGTCACCATGCTTTTTGGGGAAGACCTTTCGTAGGTTGGGACTAATGAGGTCGAGAATCGGTAGTCTTTCCTAACAGATCGAACACCTAGTGTAAGGAGGCCGAATCTGCGAATTCAAAGATTTTCTTTCATTTCAAGAACAGGAATGAACAATTTGAATGAACAATTTGA